GGGGACTGTGCCTACCTGATGAGCCCCAAGAAGGGCGAAAGCGGTCGTGGGCTATCGAAGAGTTTTCAGCAACGTTGTGAGTAGTCTCCTTTATGGTCGTTGGCTTGTTCGCTGAGCTGGGCAATTTGATCGCAAACGTTTCATCACCAATCGAGGTGACATCATCAGTGCGTCATTGGGGGACGTGGCGGTGGGTTAGTGGTTGTGTTGAAATCTTTTTTTCTTCGCCTTGGAAGTCCATTGCCAGAGTACGTCAGCTGAGTAGGTGTTCCCAGTAACTTTCTCTTCTACATTGCTCCGAGACGAATACACTGAATGTTTTGGCCTATTTCATAAGGTGATACACATTGCACGTTGTAAGGTATCCATCTGATCCCCGACTGGCCTTGTCTAAAGGAAAGTTGTCCAATGCTTGAGCTACCGGAATCTAAATGTGATCGGTACCCACCCAGTCTGGTTTTCAAGCAGAAAGCACTTGCACTATGTCTGCTTGATGTGTCTCAAGAAGGAAGACATCGGTGGTGGGCTCACAAAGATTTTCTACTAACCTAATAAATGGTGTGTTCCGTGAAGAGGTTGACAGTCCTTTAAAACTTGCTTCTCGAATGTGCGTTGGCCCAGTCGCATTTGAACCTGTGTACGTTTTCTGAGGGAAATGATCAAGTTATCCAGTTAGGCATATTATAAAACCAAACTATACCAGTTTCCTTATTTAACATTCATGACCATAATACAGAACTGTTAGTGTAACAGCCAAAGCAGAGTTTTGACGACAACGCAAATCACTTTGCATTGTGAACGCTACTGTTATCAGCGCCTTAGTTCCTAATTCGTGTTACCATACAAGAAGCATGTTATGGAGTAAGAGGTCAGGGCCCACCGATGTACTAACCTTAAAACTACTGATATCTCAACAGTAGTCAGGTTTTTCTGGTAAACGTTGTCCCATTTCAAGGTTCACAGTCACCATATTTTGTAATAGCGATGCGAAATATGATGGGACCTAGTTGGTATGAAGAAACAATACGTCCCTGGAAAGGTACTTCTTGCTTCATTTTTAAGGTCTCACCATTCTATCGAGCGTTTACCTTTTAGGGATCCATGCAAGCAGGTATTTGTTCCTATAAGGCTAACATACTGCCCAGTGGTTGTCTCACCAAGCCTGCGCGGCATGTTGCAAAAAAAGTAAATACGGTGCGCTACTCGATCACAATCTGAGAGCATTCTTTTGAGCAGTTTTTGCCTAGCTTGCGTTGGCCAGTTGATTCTTCAGATTTCACAAAAAGTCCTATAGGTAGGCATATGCTAGGGGGTAAATCCTCATAAAATCTTAAATTTTGAAAGAAAAGGCACTTTACGTGGACTGGAAGACACGGAAGGTGACTTTCTGCATAGCTTGCTGCCTACAATGACGCGTGAACAGTTCTTTTTTAGCTACCAGACACATGGACTGGATTCACTGAGCAATCGAAATGGATCTAAGCAACGCAAGGTTAGTTCCACGTTCTCTGACGGGTGTAGTCCATGTCAAAACCATTACCATCAGGAAAATGAATGGCCAAAATTGAATAATGACCGCCTAATATGTACCCGGAGGTCTGATACAATTAGGCGTGAATTATGGCCCACCATTATAGGCTAACTTCAGTTATTAATCAGATGAAATCTTGACCCCATGGCTCACAAACAGTTACGATTTGTTTCAGCAATCCCTGCACATCTGGGCTTTCCGCTATAGCTTCTATTTAAGTGGAAGACAGTGGAAATTGTTTGAACATCTGTAGCGGTCTCACCACTAGTTTAGTAGGGGGGATTGTAGGTTCAAGGGCTATAAACGCTAGTACCCGTATAGTTGTTTCCTTCTGCCTGCTGAGTATGTGTAAACACGGTTTACGTATAATCTTCACCATCCAGGACGTGCGAATCTTGGAGATGCTGACCGAGATAAGTCAGGTGTGACATGTTAGCTTGCCCATTTAATGCTCCGCAGTGAGTTGGCATATGCATTCAAGTGACAATATATGTAAAGAAGACAATAAAAATTCGTTAACAATCACATGAATATTTCAAATTCAGACCTTAGTGAAGTGTGAAGGTTACGTTTATGGAAACCCATTTCAACTTCCAGCTGTTGACAGCACTGTTCTATCCCAGAAGCATGCAAAGATAAGTTGCTCAGTGGTGTGATTGTCCGTCAGATAAGTTGATAGAGCTTTTGTCAGATCGCCACATGACTATATATCTTATAAAAGATCACTCGTAATAGATTACTGTCCAATATACCGTACGAAATCCTTACAGAGCCGTTATGTTCTCTCGGTTCTGTTTCATACTCGGAACATATAAAATTAGACACAAGTGCTTATTGACGATATACTCAACACCAATTTATGTTCCGAACCATATTCATACAGTCTAACTACCGTCTTGTGACAACACCATACCTAATATGGTAGTACGGTATGTGTTTATCTCTCTAGTACGATAAAATTTTTTGTTTTTTTGAGACCATAATAAATGTTACAGTGCATAAGGTCCTTATAAATCCCCTTTGTTCTGGAGGGCGAAAACCCCAGTCGTACGAACGTAATCTCTCTTAGTTGGACTCATTGGGGGAACGTAGAGAGATTTGCCACGTGGAGCATTCGGTCGAGGGTTTGAGCTGACAGGCGGCCCCGAGCGTGAAACTGATGCGTACCTCTCCGAATAATGCGACTGTCACTTAAACGGTGCATTTCAAATTTCAATAAGGCATAACTAAGCCTTTGAGTTTTCGTGGATAACCGAAAACCCCCAGTTGCAGAAGACAATGTCTGGAGGGTGGCCGGCAGATGCAACATATATCGATATGAGAGATTGCCGACAAGAAACTGATTTTACACTCATTTGCGCATCAATCGGGTTTTAATGCGACACTCAGCTGAATCCCAGCAGAAAATCGGGTTTATGATATTCAACTGAATTTGTTGCACACAGATCGCCTGATATTCCATTTGGTACAAGATATCGCTGTTTACTTTCTTGAAGAAGCACTAATCAAGAAGGGTGAAACTGGTAGGGAGCTGTCGAAGGGTATTTATATACTTTATGCATAATGTTTCCTCGAGAATATATAAACCGGGGGGCGTTAGCCCCATTTTCGATCAGGCTACCTTCCAACTGAGTTCCAAACGAACCTTTCTTGTTCGAAAAGCGGTCGTATGTCATGGAAACGAATGCTCTATCGCTTGACAGTGACAATCTGATCGTATTAGGAAGGCTTTCGTCAAGAGGAGGCTGATAGAGAAAGTTTTCAATCAACTGAAAAAAGCTTTGAACCGGTTGAGAAGTCAACATTTCAGAAGGGCTTGATAAACAATCGGAAGTTTTTAACTGGACAGCGTTTCGCTTTTGAGACGAAGGCTTCAGCAGACCAAGTAAGAGGGTCACCAAATTGGCCAGGTTTTAAAGACAGACAGAGAACCAATCACTAAGAGAACGGGTTTGGGTCAGCTGAGCCGACACGTGTGAAGGAGTCATCAACACAAGTACCTTAGATCTGAATCGCACGTAATCTCACCCTCCTCCCCCCAACTAAATTGTCGTAACATTCACAAGCACACAAAACCCAACAAAAACTACCGGTGGCACTCAAGGCGAATCATCAATCGAAGCACCTTGAAGTGGAAGATTAAGGAACCATACCCGATCGAAACCAATTTGAAACTCCCACAACCCACCAACCTTAGGCAAACACACTAACCGACAAGACCGTTTAATTGACATTCAGCACCGGACTAGTGCGCTAATCTGAAGAGGTCATACTGATTGGTTCTCCGTCTGGCCTAAAACGTGGCCAAACTGATGACCTGCTCACTTGGTCTGATGAAGCTTTCGTGTCAAAGGCGAAACACTGCCCAGTCAAAAAACTGTTTACGGAACAGAGAAAATTCTTTGTAAACGATTTAGCAGTGAGTACAAATTAGAAGAGCGGTAAAATACGAATTAGATTATTTGTTTTCCACCTCGGTGGGTGTACTGAGTGATTTGGATGGAAGGTGTTCAAATGATCAGTGGTTTGAGGGAAGGCGGTAATGATGCACAAAACGCTCCCAAAACGATCGCAGCTGTAGACCAGTCATGAATAAAACGTGATAACTGTATCTACGATAACTTCCAGTGCGATGCCATCCGCCATCTGTAACAGCGTCAAATGGACAAACATAACTCTCTTTTCTTGACGTAACACACCACTTATAAGTTCTTTGACAGCCTACGACCAGTTTCGCCCTTCTTCGGGCTCATCAGCTGGGCGTAGTTCCCGGGCTTCAAGCAAGCTTGTGTTCTCCTTGAGCACACATCATACGCAAGTAGCGAAACACACTTATTCCTTCGTTCTCGTTAACACCGACTTAGCTCGAAAATATCACAATCGAGAGATTCCGTTATTACCGATTTATTCGCGACTTACGTACACTTTGGTGTTCAAATAAATGCTAAAGCTGATGTTTTCTTGGGGACCAGTCCAAAGGAGGACGAAGCCGACAGCGGGCTACAGAACATTTTTCGGTACACAAGAAAATATACTGCGATGTTCTGAATATTGATCAAACTGAAATAAAGGGTGGCCTTTGTGTCGCACATTCATTTGGGGTATGGAGTTTCAGATGAGCGTCTCAATGGCACCAGCGTATTTTGAAACTGCAAAGCATCAGTTCTTAAGAAAGTATGACTGGACTATGGACTAACGGAATAGTAGAATTCGACTTTCCAGTGAAGAACTAATTGACGTTTTTTTTACACCTTGATTAGAAGCAGGGCGTTTGGAGAACGCAGACGAAAACAGAGTCAGCTCAACCCTTTTCACTGCGATGATTAGAGAAAGCAAACGATCTGCTCATGAAAACTGAAGAGTCTCCTATGCTTGCACTGTTTGAAACGACATCGCCACTCCTAATGTGAAAAACTGTGGTCACTTCGTCTTTTCTAATTTTCGATGGCATGTCATACCAGTTTTGCCTGAAAACCCGTGTTTTACTGGACTGCGTTTACCAGGTTTCCCGGAACTGTGTTCAGGCCCGAATTCCTGAATTGTTGCAAGTCGTAGAGGTATTCGAGTTGGCCAGATTATTAGATCTGTACTGAAAATGTCTTCTACTGACTTCCCCCCTTATTGAGATTGATTTTTTTCAAAGTTGGCGCCTTACGACTAGATTTACAGAAACAGCTTCGACACAATACTTGCGTTGTGGTGCCAGTCGAGGAATCGTAGTCGAATTCACTTAGATTATTTCCCTCGACTGCTTCCAGCTTGATAGCTCCAGCTCCGGAAAACATGACGATCTCGCTACTTTCGTTCAGTCGAAGAGGGCACCAGTTTGCTTCTTGGGAGGGTATTGAATTTTCGGCCGTATTACACAGAATTCTGTTCACTAACTTGTACGTTCCATTTCGTTCTTGTGAGGGTATTGAATGTTTGGCCGTATTACGCAGAATTCTGTTCACTAACTTGTACGTTCCCTCCAAGCCCCTCGCTGGGTAGTTATACAATTTCCTCTCTACTTGTGCGTCTCGCATCATTGCCGTCAACCGTGGCCGAACGGTTAAGTGTTCAAACTACTAGCCAGGAGGTCGCGGGTTCGAGACCCTCTGGGGTTTCGTGAGATGAGCACTGCTGCTGAAACAACTGTACAGTGCCTCTCGGCTTTTCAGCATAGATTGGCTTCACTTACAGGAGAAAATCTCCACAAATAATCCAAACCTCCTCGCACTGCCAACACCCACTACTAATCTTCTCGTCACAGCAGGTAATAAAAGTAGGGGCGATCCCAAACGTAAAAGAGTAATGTCACCGGTAAATTCGGAGTTTGAACGCACGCTAGTGAACGAGGTTAGAAACAGTTCCAGGGGTTGGCAGATAAGACGACCAAAGTCACCGTGGCAACAAGCGAAATACATGAATAACTTCAGTGCAGTCCGGAAAGAACTATCATGTTGTCACCACCGCAATTACAGGTCAAGACTAAAGCCGTATGCAATCCAGGTTGTCTTTGTGGTCGAGGATAGAAACTAGGGTTGATCATGGAAATGGTCAATTCGAAAAGTTCATCGGAATTCATAATTCCGCATGACATAGTAACTGAAGTTGTGTCCTAGATGTTCCTCTCTTACTTTGAGCATTACTCAATAATTTTGACGTGACGACTCACTCCCATGGTAAACAATTAATCAAATTAGCTTCAAATGACACCTTGATTTTTAGGATCCCAACACCTGTTGGGACGGTCTACATGAGAGTACAAAGTCAGGCAATTGTGCTAAAAACGAGTCACGAAATTTCGGTGAAACCTGACTTCCCGTCTAAAAGCTATGAGCAAAAAAAAACACAACATCCTCCTAATTTTAAAACGCCGGAGGACTATATGGTACTCGGTGCCATCTAACAACTAAGTAAATAAACGCGGACCAGTTTCGGTGAAACTACCCATCCTTGCACGTCAAGTAAACTGACGGGCAGTCATCGTGTTCTAGAATTAAAAGTCACAGTGGAAATAAATGTTTCATATAAGAGGAAGCAGTTTGGCGCAGAATGCGTCGGCGCCTGTGTCACACAATACCAAATACGAGGACAATTGAATCATCCAGAAAAATAGCAGAAATATACACCAAGGTAATAAAGAAACCGAGGACGTAAAATAGACGAGGTGTCAACCACGAATAAACGAGACGGGCGAATCACCTCACTACGACAACGGAATTTCACAGAACACCTGAGTGTGTCAAGTGACCACCGAGATGGGTGGTTACAAGTAATCAGAAATAGCTGGTGGAAGATACCACTGTGCGTGAAATGATCACAGTGATTTGATGAAAGCGTAAGACAACTGCCACATGACAATAAATCGACAAATAGTGAGCGTTAAAGAGACGAAAACACGATAATGATGATCAAGGAAGATAGAAACTACCACAATTCTTAGAGTTCGAATGCACCGTAATCAGACTGAAGTCACACGGGGTGGAAGTACCGGGTTGAGTAGGATTCTACAAAGAATCAGCTTCACATGTAGTCATTTGGGTTCCACACTGGCATTAGAAATTCCCTGAGATTGTTTGGTATTGGAATATGATTGAAGCTATACCACCGGGCGAGATTGTGCGTTACCTTGGCCGCCAATTCACGGAGTGTTGACAAAAGCAAAATCAAATGTGCACACCTGGTTCGCGAACCTTGGCTTTCGCAGAGACGACGCAATAGCTCGGCCCAGACACCTTGGATCCGACTGACGGCTTGTACCTCCAAAAGATCGGCCCTTTCTGGTCAGATGCACAGGGGCGGAGATGACGGAAAAACAGTTAAATGTGTGGACGCACGAGCTGGCGATAATCGCAATCTCGTATTTGGTAAACTCAACAGTGTAAAAAATAATTGGCCTGAAAAGACGAAGCCTAAAAGCTAGCAATAACGGCACAGCGCATCATCATAACAAAAGCACGAAACGTTAATAATCTCCGGGTAGTGGCGGGTTGTGTTTGAGTGAAGCGCGGAAACCTGAGAATGGACGTCTTTCGAAATGAGTTTGTCTAAAACTGCGGTGACTAAGTAGGTGAATACGTCTCAGAGCGCCTCGTGGAGCCAGCTGAAACGGTTATAAGAATAATACGAAGAATGATACTAGTATTCACTAACCGTATTAGTGGGATCAAAAGCGACTAGAAGAGGTATAAAACCGATACGCCGAAAGACTGGATGCCCCTACTCAGCTTTTCTACTAATGCTCCCACCTCTCGCTCTTTTTCAAAATTGATGGGATCAAAAGCGACTAGAAGAGGTATAAAACGCATACGCCGAAAGACTGGATGCCCCTACTCAGCTTTTCTACTAATGCTCCCGCCTCTCGCTCTTTTTCAAAATTGATAACAATGTCGTCTGCGCCATCTGGCGAAGCGGTTTCGGTTGCTTCTAAAGTTACTAGAAACTGTCTGTGATCGGCACACAACTGCATCAGACGTTCACCATTGTCCGTACCTCTAGATTTCAATTCAAGACGACCAGCAGATTGAGCCTTATCAACGCCAAGTCTACACCTACTTGCGCACTCATATCTCCGGCAGCCACAACAACATCTGAGTTCGTAGCCCGTCGCAACATAGTGCTTAAAGCGTTGTAAAAGCTATCCCTGAGTTTATCGGAGCTACAGTCTGTTGAGACATAAGCAGATACGTTGAAAAGGCAGCAATTATCAGCGCAATTACAGGATACTTTCACATACATCAAACGAACCACAGATGCGACTATCAGTGAGTAATCATCCAACCAGAGGCCTTTCAGCTTGGTGGCTTGGGCTAAATCTAACAGAACTAATAACAGCGTCTTCTGCAACAATGGTGCGTATCCGGAGGCGAGCGGCAATTGATGGAAAGACCAGACTACCGTACTTGGGTCGTAAATCCTCGTTCCAGACAGACAGTACACATCAATAGAAAGCGCCACCAAACATTTCATCCTACTTCTATCTACGCGTAAATATGAACACTATTTGAAGATACCATCCTATATAGGATGTATTCATCTCACGAAGTTGAACAGCATGAGACAGAAACGAATATAGGATCAAAGGTTAACAGGGGACTTGTCGCAACAGTGGTATGGTTACGTTTGATGGTAGATTTAGATGCCGGATGTCGGAACTCGACATTCGCGCCCGGGTGTAGACAAATATGGAATTACTTTGGGCCAACAACAGCGGCAGAAAGCGACAGGTTCAATCTCTTGTCATCGTTATGTATAAAGTACATATAGTAAGAACTAACAATCTCCACCGGATGGTGGCTGCCTGATGGGCACCATTGACTTCTTAATGAAAGTTTTAATTCTAAGGCTAAAATCCGCGTGTCCTTTACAAAAGAGACCATCTGAGGGAACAGGCTAGAAGTTAAATTAGGCTGCAAACGACTAGGAGGGGAAATTGTACGTCGTTATTCTAAATAATCCGGAAGCAAGGACCGTGTATGGGTTATCTTACCTGGGGTGAAAAGTACGAGTCCAAGAAGGGGCCCAATTTCCTCGTCAGTCAAACGTAGCTGCGTCAAACGCCAAGCAAACTTTAGGATACGGCTGGGGGTCCACGTATTATCCGTCAGATGGAGATGACTGAAACTCGCTTCTGTAATAAGAAAGTTTGCGTTCCAGGGGCTGACTAAATATGCAGAACATTCACCTTCTGAGGTGGAGATCTCAGTGCCATCACCGGTGCATAAAGCTGATTCTCCCTCTGGCGCCAAGCGGTAGTTATTGCACATCAACAAGAACTGAAATAGAAATGAACAGTAAGTCGCATATGTCGACCTCACATTAGGAGCTACAAAATTGTACTAAAATATGCAGATGCGACATCCCATCGACTAAATAAGGTATCGACAAAGCACTAGCGATACTGAAGCAAGCCATCATGAGTGGAACTAAGGAGCAAGGGATAGCCGAGGATCCCAACCCCAGGTTCCAGTGGCCACAAAGTACCTTCGCGCAAAAGTTCTTCCATTCTTCCCATAGCCTTGTGGATCGCATTACCCCTGCAAGGTCTTGAAGTGCATCCACGAACAAAAGTCAGAGATCAGTGGATATGATTTGCTAGAATTCTGCAAGCTTTCTGACTGCGAGCCGTGGATGCGTCCTTATAACGCTAACTCAGTGCTCCACTCCATTTGAACCGGTTAATTTCATCAGTTTTAACATAACATCCCGGTATTCTCAAGTGGCGCAACGTATACAGTGTTTGACATACGATCCATATTGTCAGTGTTTCTTAGGCTTTAAGTATCGAGATTTTTTTTAGTGATTTTAAGATTCTCGTGTATGTTGGTCGCTCGCCTGTTTCTGCTAATCTATTGATTGTCTACGGGGCCCTTTGCTACCACCATAGACGACGACCTAGGGCAGAAATCAAGACGTGGATATTCATCGGACTGACCGTTCTCGTAAAGTATGTTACTATGCCATTGTACATTCTATCAGTAAAATAAGTCTCTTCGACTGCTTAAAAACAAGTGATAATGCAGTGTGCTCACCAAAAGTTTCAGCGTGGCATAGCTCCGTAGGACTGGACTACGAGGAAACATACAAGAGTTAGGGGATGAAAAAATTGTTCAGCTGTAGCACCCTTTCGGTGCCTAGCTGCCATGCCCATGGAAGGATGCACGAGGGCTGGGATAATGTCATGCTGCACAAGCCTAGAAACAAGCATTCGAGATGCTGAGGTTGGTGTGACCCAGGGATCTTTTGGTCCACAAGCTGGGTCCTTAACAACTGAGCTATGGGATGGTGCACCCAAACTTGGTGTGACAGGCCACAAGCGTGGCCGTTCTTCACAATTATGAATCTCGACAACAGGGCATTTATCAGTGCACTTGGTCGAAAAAGTGCAAGAATCACCGGGAACGTAATCTGGGCAATTTGGCAACAGAGCTCACAAGATCTGGAACAGGCGAACACCTGTGATAACCACGACAGAATGGATGTGTGATCCCGATAAACTGGTACGTACTGTTAGTTCCATTAGACAACCACGAATCAAGATTGCTTGGTCATGCTGAGAGAGTTGAGCAAATTCTGCAAGGCAACCGGAAAATTGATAGGCAAAGCAAAGTTGAGCTGGACACAGAATTTGTTCGACTGAAGTGATGACAATTTTCCCGTCTGATTCCGGCAGGCAAGAGTTCATCTGCAAAAAAGACAAACGGATGAGAGATGTATCACTTAAACACTACTTGTAGTACTAAACGATTCTGTCCTCCGACAGCCAACTAAAGGTCCGGGCTGTCAACTATCTTTGATCGATACATTGGCGAATTACTGAAACAATAACGAAGGGTATGCTTTACTTTTTCTGACGGAGGAATGAGATATTAGGGATACAAGACTCTTAGTTAGTAAAGTCATCGACAGAATCGAGCAGGCCACCTGCGAAACTGAAACTCTCTAATCTTCTGGGGGATGAGTACGTCGATGGTTAAAATCACTGTCATACTTATTACAGCTACGTGGTCTTAAGTATCCTTTCCTGGTTGGATTACGGTTGCCAGCACCGGACATGAGGAAAACTAGCTGGGAGACTAGAAAAAATGAAGCGAATAAGGAATGGAACAATGTTTTCTAACCTGCATTCGAGTTTCGGCCAAAGAATGTTTCTTGCTCGCCCGAACTAAGTCATGCAGGCTAACGATGATCTGGCGGTCTTGAGGAGAGAGGAAATTGGTGGTTGGTGAGAGCTTTCCCAATGGATTTGTTAAAGCTGAAGGGAATGAAATGCTGCTCCCAGCAGTCCAGCCAACGGTGGATTGCTCTGTTCCGGAATAAACGGATCTGGGTGTCGTTTGAGAACTGCAGGCATCCGAGCGATTTACATCACAAGGGAGCATCGGTTCTGGATGCTCTGACGACGTATGTGCAGATTTGTTAGACCTTCTGCGTCCCGTTGTTTTCGATGATTTTTTATTGCCTGCTGGCTGTTTTCTTCGGACGGCTGAAAGGCAACAAGAAACAAACAGTTACTAACGAGGATACATGTCCCGATTTTGTAGTCAGGATTTCCATCCAACAAGTTAGTGCGAAAGACTTTGTATCAGGCAATCCACGGCCAACTAAACCGAAACATATCACAACAAAATTACATCATCCTATTGTCCAAACGTGATCTTAAATGTGAAGCACTGAACCACCGCAGATGAGGAACTAAATGAATACACTTCACATTCGAAAACTTGGTGTATTTTTCACCGAACTTCCGCTGCCGATTGACCGAAAACGAGTGTTTTTGTGTGGAGACCATATCCATCGGGTAACTAAATCGATCAAAATTCTCTTCAAAATTCGTTTCTTAGTTGATTCGTCTTGGATGTTTGAGCGCGGATCGTTGTGGTTGAGCAGTGTGGAGAGTATACAAGTTTGTGATTGCCAAACGAAAACGATAAACTATATTTTACATAAGGAGGATGATTTTTCTCTAAGTACTTAGCGCAACACCGTAAGTAACAAGAATATCACAGGGTTGGACGTAGTTATTGTGGTTCGACAAGGGTATTCGCTGTCACCAGTTCCACCGTTTATCAGGGCGCGCAAATGAAGTCCAGAATGAGGAATCTGGGCGAGAAGTATGCTGACAAATATCAGCACAATTCTTAAGCTACCATGGCGAGAAGTATGCTCACAACAAATATCAGCACAATTCTTAAGCTACCAAAGCATGCGGTGAACGACCTGAATTTCAATTTACGCGTCCAAATCACAAGCAACGAGGTGTGGCGACTAGAGTGGGAATTTGTCCATCCAAGCCACCATGTTGTTCGTTCAAAGAACGTTCACGAATTCTAATCTTCGGGTGTCTAGTAGTTCGAACATTACAATACAACCAGCGCGAGCGACCGAATGGCAGCACACAAAAACTGGAAGACGAGGCAATTGGTCTTTGTTCCAATAACTCAACATTTGGGTTTGTACAGCCAGCAACATGTTTATTGTGCTGTAATGGCTTGATGATGGGAAACAAAGCCGTCCATGCTTGCCACACCATGTTGTCATGAATTCACCGGCGTCACATTGTTCCATCAGTGAAAAACCTACACACCTTTGCCCTCGAAGCGATAGCTCTGACGTGGGACAGCCACCAAACCATGTTCATCAGGCGATAAGGGAGATGACTGTTCCTCAGTCAGGGCTTGTGTGCCTAAAATCCTACACTGTCTGACCATCTGATACGCTCCGATAAAGACGAAAGGCCTCGTACAGTTTAGCTTTCTTGCTTAATGGCTAGAGCGCCAAGTTACTGACCGGAAGGCCCGTGGTTCGAATTCAACCTCTGCATCTGAACTTCCCCTGTCTAGGCATGGGCGACCTGGCAGTGTTCCAGCCCTCGTACCTTCTTTGGGGTGCATGGCAGCTAACACAGCTGAACGGTTTATTTCTTTTTCCGGAGAACACATCTACCATAAACGTCCAGTGAAATTTCAAGCCCGCGACCCGCAAGACTGCGTATGAATAGACAAAAAGAACTGTGCAAAATAAAGGTATTTCGATACATGATGTATCTGACTTAACGGGAGTAAAACATGGCGTCTAGCCAAGTGCTTTTTCTGAATATCAGGTAACACACCTCGCCGATATTGATCAGGTGTTTCATAAAACCTGGGCAATGTTGTGGAGGGATCAGTGATCAAACCGGAGAAGTCTCCCATTGTCACCACGCATAGTGGTCATTAGAGCCCAAGATGGGTTAGTGGTTAAGGAGGCAGCTTATGGGCCGGAAGGACCATTGTTCGAACTCAACCTCGGCAACTCGAATGCTCCTGCCTAGACTTGGACAACCTGGTAGTGGTCCAGCCCTCGTACCTCCTTCGGGGTGCATGGCAGTTGGGCACCGAAAGGGTGCTACAGCTGAACGACGATAGTCGTCACAAAGCGCCTTGTGGTAGGGTAGGGTGGGTTTAGCTTTTCCAATTCGAAGGCAAGTTCGTCCAATTCTTACGCTGCCGTCCATGCGGCCAAATTAATTCAAATAGACATTTTTAAGCATCTGGTTCAGGAAAAGCAACATCGTCAAAAGAAGTGTTGGAGAGATATAGAGGGGAGATTTTTACCCTCAGATTCTGACAAGCTCTGGCAATCAACGGTGTCGAATGTTGCTTTCAACCAACCTTTGATCGTTGGGAGAGATCAAGCACCTGCAGAGTTATGGTCACTGAATCCTTAAAGGATTGTTCGGAAGATTCAACCGGGGGAATGGGATGTATACGTTTACCTGTACAAGAAGTATCTCAGTTTCATGAAAAAGAAGTCGGTCAGTATGGACAGTAGAAGCGGTGATTTATCGGCCTTGGTAAGATGAAGGATAACTGGGAATAAGAGCCCCACAGCAATCAAAACAAACACCATATAAATATGAAGTCACTGAAGGAACGGATGCTGAGTACTCACCGTCTTTGGACATTCCGCTGGCAAGGCATTTAAGAAATCGACAATGCTGGCACTTGTTACGGAGCGCACGATTAACCTCACAACTGCCGTTACGAGCACAGGCGTAGGTCTGATTACGGTGAACCGCTCGTCGGAAAAAG